CACATTTGGGAACTCTCAAATATGATATCAAAAAATTCAAACGCATCCTCTAGATTTTTTTCCATGAACTCCCCTTGAGCCATCATCTCAAAAAAACTGACGTAATCGAGTAGGGAGAGAATCATAGAAAATTCCTGCCATAGTCCAACTCTCAAATGCATGGTGTGACCAAGCTTAGAGAAGATATTTAAATCTCTCCCAACATTGGTAAAATTTTTCTCCATCTTTAACTGAAAATTTCATGATTTTCCTTTTAAGTGCATTCGAAATATGTACACCCAAGTGTAGGCAGTCAAGTTGTAGTAATAATCTGGTTAAGTTCGGAGTCGAATTCACAAGGACTAGCATTGGTGTGCGAAATTAAGATCAATAGAGATGAAGGTGAATAGATATCATGAATTTAGGAGTTCAGATGGTGAGGAAATTTTATAAATAAAATATAATATTCTTTAAATGGAAATAAAAGTCACTCTTTAGTTCAAGGATTTGGACATGTGCAGATGTGTTTGGGTGCTATATTTTTGCAATACTGATTACTCAATTAACCCCTATGTCAATAGCAAGTTACTCAATTGTCACCATACTCTTTTTCTGATTTTTTGCACGTTCTGATGTTTGCCCCTCCATATTCAATACATTTGTCAAGAAAAACTCCATTTCAATCGCTGTTTTTTCCAATTCTTAGTCTACAACCTGTAAAATTTTCCAATGAAAAATTATTGAAATAAAGTTCTTACGAGAATTTATATTTATATATAACAATCAATCCTTGTTGTTTGTATTTCACTCAATTTTTTACCTCGTCAAGAGTCGGTTGATTCAGTTTTTCCATATTTAGAACCTTGGCCAGTTATGGGAGGTTCCATTTCACGAATCTTTGAAATACATTCTTGTATTCTATCTGAATAATGTTTGTATGTTCACACAACCAATACTGCAAAACAAAGAGTTAGAGACCAAGTGCATGTCAATTAATTTCCTAAAACAATGAAGTAAATATAATATTCATGGTGATATATATGGCACTTACTAGCAATTCAACAACACATCCTTTAACTGAATCTAGTTGGTAAATTTTTTGTGCAACAGAAGACATAAACAGATCTGTAATTGCTTTGAACCATGCATAACTTTTCATGTTGTCTAGATCATCTACCAATAGCACATACCCCCAAACCAATAGGTTGTTCAGTTGTTGGAAATAGCAGAGTAACAAAAGCGCAAAGACATAGCACCCTTGCGAAATCTTCATAATCTATTTCCTTCTTTCCTTTTGACATAGCTTTCATCGTAGATTAGACTAATGCGAATGATAACCTCTCTTCTTCTTGAACCTTCTAATCACAAAATCTGGGGGCATTTTCTTTTTTATTTTTGATACATCAATTTCTATGTCACCATTCTTTATTCCAAATATAAGTGATACATCACTTGTGCTGAAGTTTACTATTTTGTTTCCAAGTTTAAAAGTTGATGTGACATGGTCAAAATTATGAATCAGTGTTATGGCAGCTTCATGACTTTGTCTGAACATTTTTGGATTATGTTTCTGGTCAATTATTTCTTCAAATAGTAGCCAAAATGGTCTTCTCTCTAGAGCACTTCGGTGACGCTCTATTACTTAGTTTTCTTTGAAAAGTTTTAGTAGTGCTCCCATGTTTGATCTAAATTGTGGCACATAATTTCTTTGTCCATTTGTATATCTCTTTTGAGCTTGGCTTTTGAATTCTTCTCTTTTAATGTTCCTTCGTTGCTTTTTTTTTTTTTTGCGTTTGATTTTCTGATCTCATACAAGTTTGTCAGGCAAGCTTATTTTTTCGGCATTTTACTATTTTTAACTGTGTAAAAATAGAGCATTATAATAATATAATGAAACAAAATTAATTAAGTTATAATTGAACACATTGTCATGTTAATTATTAAGCAATCAAATATTTCTCGTGTCTATTATAAAATAGTCAAAATATTGCAAAATATGTTTATTAACAATACAGTCAACTACAACAATAACTAAATTTGTGTCAATTGAACACATTGTCCAATACATCATGAAACAGTCAAATATTGCATGTAAGATAGATTTTACTGTTTAAATGCATTCAACAATAATACACACTTTTGAATTATTTTGTTACTGTAGTTTTTGCAACATACGAAAATAATCAAAATATCCAGATTAACAATAAATTGAATAGAAGAACAAGTAAATCTAAAATCAACATTAAATTATGGAAATTACTATTTTTTACTGTTTTATGTTTTGCTCATTTTTTGCTTTTTTTTATGGATTTTAATTCTATGTTTGTGTGTAACAATAGAATAATACACTATTCATCATTTTATTATACGATTTTTGGTTATATTTTCAAAATTATTATTTTGATTCACATGTTACATACTGAAATAGCTTAAAATATATATAATTAACAAGAATAAATGAAATTTTTTCTTTTCGCTAATATTTAAATTCAATAAAGCAAAATTACTTACCCGAATCGTAAAAAATTCTTTGTGGAGTATTTGAAACCTAGTCTCTTATAATTTTGACATGAGATGTTGAAGAAGGGTTTTTTCAATAGATTTATGTTGCCCAGACGAATTTGGCTACTGAAGAATCACTAGAACCCTAGAATCGATGACTGTTGATGGTTTTTCATTCGCAATCATCATTTTTTAGTTTGAAAATTTTTCAATGAGAGTGCGTGTTGGTTCTTGTGTAACGATGATGGCAAGTCGTTCGATTTTAAATGAACTGAAAATGCGCAACTACACAATAACAAACATTTTGAAATGTATTTTTATCCAATTAGCTATGTGTCCTTTAGGCCTTAAAAGTTTTTAGCTTGGACTTAATGACATTGAAGTCTAGTCCCATGGAGTTACGGCCCAAAAGCCCAACTTTAAATGAGTGGGTAGTTAATTAGTGAGAGTGGAAAGTGGTTACATAGGACATGTGCCAAAATGTCAGTGGATAAAATCATGTGTTATATTTCAAATTTTGAAAATTCTATAAAAAAAAAAAAAAAAGAAGATAGAGAGGGAAGGCCTCCTAAGCCTTCTCCCTTGTAATTTGTTTATCCTAGCATATAGTATAGATATCTGAAATTGTAGTTGTTTAAAAGACGGTTAAATGATATTAACATGAGTAAAAATAATATTTAATGTAATTAGAGTTAGATTTAATTGTAAGCAATCAGGATAAACAAGAAGAATAAGGTTCTGTTAGGGGCAATAATGTTAAACATCATTTTCCGTCATATCTATTACCTGACAAAAACTAACAGGGTAGATATTTCGGGGAAAAAAATTGGCCGGGTGTCAGTGATATTTTAAAATATACAAGGGGGTGTCAATAAAACTTTCCCTTCAGTTTTTCTTCCTACTTCGAAAGTTATTACTATTTTGAGTCAAATTACAATCTTTTTGAATCAAATTAAATCTAAATAGGATCAAATTGCCACAAAAAATAAAAGCTAATTTGATCTTAAAATTTTAAAGTCAATTTCAAATAACCACCTTTTGGAATAACCTCACTAGATTAAGGTACCCGGTTGGTAACGGTGTGTTTATATTTTTATTTTTTTTTGGTTTTTTTTTCACTTTTTTCCAAAAAAAAAATGATAACATATTTGAAAAGTGTTTTTATTTATTTTTTTTTTGGATTGGTCTGTTTTGTAAACAATTCCAAATTTGATAAACATGAAAATAGGTGTTTTTAAAAACACGCAAAAATGCAAACACGCACATCCTTTGGAACCAATTAATGAGGTCTACCCTTCAAACCCCTTTAGTAGGAAAAAAAAAAGATTTTTTTTATTCTAACTATAAAAACATTATTTATCCCTTTTTACCTCTTTTCTCTCTCTCTCTCTCTCATTCATCGCTCTCATTCTTCCTCACGAAGCCAACGACGAAGGAGCTCTCAAATCTCACAAGTCAACACTCCATCTTCATCAATATCTCTTTTAAGGTCAAATTTCACTCTTTCTCTTTGTAACTCCTCCCTATGGAATCAAATTTTTAAATTTGGATTTATTATATACGTCGTATATACATAAATCTGTATATATATGTATATTTAGCCCTAGATCTATTAATATATTGTTAGATTTTGATAGATTTGGGTGTGAATGTGTTTGTTCGATAGGTGTGTGTTTTCGTGTGTGCGTGTGTGTGTAACATTGAATTTTCATCTTCACTGTGTGTGTGTGTGTGTGTGTGTATTTATAGATCTATCAATCAAATTTTTATTGTGCGAAACATTTATAGATCTATCAATCAAATTTTTCTTGTTAATAGAGAATTGTGTTTTCGTGTGTGTATAATTATAGATCTATCAATCAAAATTTTCTTGTTAATAGAGAATTGTGTTTTCGTTTGTGTGTGTGTGTGTGTCTTCATACATTCATAAATATATAATCAAAATTTTCTTGTTATTTGATAGATCTAAATAAATGTATATTTAGCATATATGGCAGTGGTAGTGAAGAAACTATTGAAGGAAATGAAAATTGAATAGAAACGGTAAAAGGTAGCAGAACGAGGTGTTTATGTGGATCAGATAGTTGAAACAAGACAAAAGACAAATTGTGTAATGAATTCAATTGAGATTTTGCAAAGCCGAAGACGAATGTGTTTAAAAATTAACCAAAATAACACCAATAAAATATTATCCAAAATATATCATGTCAAACATTTTTTTTGTTTTTGTTTGTATAATTTTTTAAATATAAATGGCTACCAAACACGTTTTATATTTTTAATTTTTATTACAAAAAACAAAAATTTGTTTTGTTTTTTTAAAAAACATTATCAAACACACCCTAAATTATAACCTCACCTTTACTTCATAGTAACTTCAGTCATCCCACTTTTTTGCCCTGCTTCCGCAAGCAATAATAAAAAATCCACACATCCACAAAATCATGATAGAAAATTGGTCTCTTCTGCAACTGGCAAAGACTTTGTGGGGGATGACATGATAAGATTGACAAGGCCAACTATACGGTGTAGAAGTACATGATACTCAATGCTGTACTCGGAACGCACTCTTTAACACTGTTCTCTGAGAACCAGGTGCTAATGATGCTTTGAGAAGCAGTTGCTGCATCAGTGGGCCATCTATCAACCAGCCTAAAACCGAATTGAGATGCAGCTGCAAGTAGAGATGGCTCATCAACTCTGCGCAAGACATGGCAAAGAATCAAAGCTGGCTCTGAGTTCTCTTCAATGCCTCGGTTTGATGAAATTAGCTCTTTTGCAGTTGCAAACAAGGGCATGATCGCTTCAGGAACATAAGTTACATCCGTGCCAATAATGATCTCGAAACCTTCATCATTCAATCCTTTTACGGATTCTATATGATCTCTATTTCCCCAGTCTAGTCTTTTCGTAATGAGTTTGGCAAGAGAGGGTGATTTGAGATTTGCAGCAACATTGCGGGTCAACAAGTCGAGGGCTTTTACATCTCCATCGGTGGCAACCACAATGTCAGCAGATTTAGTAGCAACCATAGTGCAGATTCCCCCACAGCCGCATCCCAGCTCTAACACCTTTTTTCCTGCAACAATATTTTGATTTGCCGCAAGAACAGAAGCCATCAGCCGGGCTGATTCCCAAAGCATTAACCCAGTTGATTTACAGGTATGTTGGTACTCTTTTGGAAGTACTGTTATCTGGAAGCTCCAATCTTGTACCATGACCTCAATAATCTAAGAAAGAATACAGCTAAAATAACTAAGAGAACAAAACTGCAGACAAAGGCATGTGTTTTGCCAAATACAATTCTTCTCCATTATTTAGAAATCAGTCCACGTGAAACAAGCACAACAAATAACCTATATATGACACCATCAAACATCAACTAGAATGAACGATAAACCCAAACACTAAAGGTAACACCAGAGATGCATTTAATATTTCATCTTGTTTCTTGACTTTAAAGGGAAAGATAAAGCAGGATTAAATAATACCTCGTCATTGGAAACTGAAATACCAAACATCTCAGCAGCCAGTCCCTCAGATATGTCAAGGTCTAGCCCACTTGCATGATCAGCTGAAGTGTTCTCCAAGATCTCAGGATTGGTACGAGCCTTATCGTGCTCTACCTTGATTTCAGTCTTTGTGCTAGATAGGCAGCTAGCACCATCTAAGTGAAATACAGCTTGGACCCAACGCCTGCAATATCCACTATAATTTCAATTGCCCCGGGGAAAACGTGCACGCAGATTAAAAAGAAAAAAAAAAGCTACTTTCATTAATGGATTTGTATACATTAGCACAATTTCCTCAATAGACCAAGCTATAATTTTCAACAGCATCAATTGAATATCCCTCCATTGCATCCAAGAGGTATGTACATTTATAAAATTCAGCATTGTACTAAATATGGGACACAACATTATGCAAGAACAGTTCCCCTCCCCCCCCCCCCCCCCCAAAAAAAAAAAAAAAAAAAATCATATGGGGAAAAAAAAAGTAGAACCATCTGATTCAAACAGAAACGATTCAGGCAGCTTTTCAACTATTTAGTCAAATGTTGTCAGGCACCAGTTAACTTCACATCAACCTATGGCGGCCTCATGTATAATGCCAAAATAAGATAATCCATCTAAATCACAATCACCGTGTACATAACACACATACGTCTACTGACTAGAACCAAGCCAAATCTGTAATGTATGTATCTCAGTCCTACTGCTGGTTCCTCGGCCCTTGGGAAGCTAGTATCTCCTTTTTAATCATTGAAGGTAAGAGAATCTACCACAAAAATATGCTAGAAGTAGAAGTAAATATGAGTAGATCATCAAAGTTTACTAAGAAAATCATGTGCTTTCATCATGCAATCATGACTACTTACACAAAGGAATAGCCACCTGCCTTGTGTAGGTAATATACACACTAGAGCACATCTCTGGGTTTTGCAATGCAACAAATTAAGGCCGTGAAAATTAGTGAAAGGTTATAATTCATTGAGTGTAATGTTTTATGCTTTTACTAGTTGCAATAGGTCTGTCAACGGATCAGGTTTAAATTGGATTTTGACTTACCCGAATCCAAACCCAATTTTAAAATGCCAACACAAATCTAATCCGTTCATCCGATGAATTTTATTTTCGTGGCTCATATCCAACTCCGTTAGAAATCCAAAAATACAATATAGTTTGATCCGAATAACATACTTTAACTAGGTTTTAATAAATTACACCTAAATTTCTTCAAATAATTACTTAATTTTTTAGTATAAATATATAAATATTTCAGATTGGACATATTTTTATCCAAATCCGTTAACTATAATACAGCAGATTTGAATTTGGGTACGGATTATCGGTAAAAAATATCACAATCCAAATCTGGCTAATCGGATTTGGATCAAAATCTGATCCATTGATAGGCCTAATTGTAGATATTAATTCAAATATTGAACAACTGTCAAGCTATCCATTTGTTCAAACCATAGTCCGTGTCAATTTGGGGAGTTGTGAAAGCTGTTTGAATTTATATAAGTCCTGTCATAAACTCCACAAGAGACCAAAACATGATATGTTTTGCAATATATACTTGAAGATACACATGTTAATTAAAATGACCCAACTATGGTCATAACCCATATGTTATAACAGAGCACAAAATAGAAATTACTATGAAACCAAATATATGATAATCTTACCGATTCATTACTATTTCCCGTGATCGATTTTCCACTTGTTTGCAGCACAACCCATATTCTTCCATATCAAATCCATTTTCTTTAAACAAACTTCTCAAGAACTCATTAGAAAAGTAGAAAGCACGCTGAAAAGCATAAATGTGATACGGTAAAAAGCTAGTCATAAATATAAGTGCTTTAAGAAATAAAAAAGAGAGGAGAACAACACATATTTGTATGACTAAAGCTTACCGTGCCATCACCTCGGACATAAAAGTTTTCGCTGATCTTTTGATTCTTGCATGTTAATCTTTCCTGCCAATACAACGTCACAGTATAAGACAAGCTGCATTTCAAACACACATATGTACACACATATATGTCAAATGAGATACTGATGCAATCTATAAGATGCTTAAACAAACACAAATTCAAAGATATAAAAAACAATGGAATTGGTCTGGCATCAAAACAAAGATCCATTTGAAACCTTGTATTATTATATTTGAATCTTTATTTTGAGTTAGTTTGAGTAACTTAGCTGCCATTAATATTTCATGTCACCAACAGACATTTGGTCTAATGGTACTCCTTACCTTATGAAAGTTTTGTCTTTTTGAAGTTAAGGGTTCAAGTCCCCCTCTCCTCTCCTCCCCTCCCCTCCCAAAAAAAAAAAATCATGTCTCTTTTTAATATTTTTTAGAGCCAAGGATATTTTCGTANTCTTTTTGAAGTTAAGGGTTCAAGTCCCCCTCTCCTCTCCTCCCCTCCCCTCCCAAAAAAAAAAAAAAATGTCTCTTTTTAATATTTTTTAGAGCCAAGGATATTTTCGTAATTTTAAGGATTGCTGGAATAGGTTATAGTAGTCAAACCATAGTCTTGGGTCAAGTTCTAGAGTTTAGAGTCCTACACCTAGTCTATGTTAGTCGGGGTTTAAAGTATCTGCTGATTCCGTTACAACTCAACCGAGTTCGGCCCTATCCGATACGATAGGGTTACCCATTATGCAAATATTACAAATCACCGACAACTTGGCCTTGAATCGGTTACGAATCGTACAACTCGACAAAAAACAAAGTTATATCGCTAGATTCGAACGATTTGTTTCAGTTATAAATCGAACCAACACATGGTGGAATCATCCAAAAAACTCAAAAAGGAAAAACCCAAAGCAAGATGCAGAGAGAGAAGAAAAGCATGACACCCCCATCCAAATTCACCAAATTTATGCAAATATTGACCCCCAAAATCACGTCCTTTTTTGAAATTGTACAAACGGAAGATTAAATTGGATGAATCCGTAACACGAATCTGTANATTTATTATATACGTCGTATATACATAAATCTGTATATATATGTATATTTAGCCCTAGATCTATTAATATATTGTTAGATTTTGATAGATTTGGGTGTGAATGTGTTTGTTCGATAGGTGTGTGTTTTCGTGTGTGCGTGTGTGTGTAACATTGAATTTTCATCTTCACTGTGTGTGTGTGTGTGTGTGTGTATTTATAGATCTATCAATCAAATTTTTATTGTGCGAAACATTTATAGATCTATCAATCAAATTTTTCTTGTTAATAGAGAATTGTGTTTTCGTGTGTGTATAATTATAGATCTATCAATCAAAATTTTCTTGTTAATAGAGAATTGTGTTTTCGTTTGTGTGTGTGTGTGTGTCTTCATACATTCATAAATATATAATCAAAATTTTCTTGTTATTTGATAGATCTAAATAAATGTATATTTAGCATATATGGCAGTGGTAGTGAAGAAACTATTGAAGGAAATGAAAATTGAATAGAAACGGTAAAAGGTAGCAGAACGAGGTGTTTATGTGGATCAGATAGTTGAAACAAGACAAAAGACAAATTGTGTAATGAATTCAATTGAGATTTTGCAAAGCCGAAGACGAATGTGTTTAAAAATTAACCAAAATAACACCAATAAAATATTATCCAAAATATATCATGTCAAACATTTTTTTTGTTTTTGTTTGTATAATTTTTTAAATATAAATGACTACCAAACACGTTTTATATTTTTAATTTTTATTACAAAAAACAAAAATTTATTTTGTTTTTTTAAAAAACATTATCCAACACACCCTAAATTATAACCTCACCTTTACTTCATAGTAACTTCAGTCATCCCACTTTTTTGCCCTGCTTCCGCAAGCAATAATAAAAAATCCACACATCCACAAAATCATGATAGAAAATTGGTCTCTTCTGCAACTGGCAAAGACTTTGTGGGGGATGACATGATAAGATTGACAAGGCCAACTATACGGTGTAGAAGTACATGATACTCAATGCTGTACTCGGAACGCACTCTTTAACACTGTTATCTGAGAACCAGGTGCTAATGATGCTTTGAGAAGCTGTTGCTGCATCAGTGGGCCATCTATCAACCAGCCTAAAACCGAATTGAGATGCAGCTGCAAGTAGAGATGGCTCATCAACTCTGCGCAAGACATGGCAAAGAATCAAAGCTGGCTCTGAGTTCTCTTCAATGCCTCGGTTTGATGAAATTAGCTCTTTTGCAGTTGCAAACAAGGGCATGATCGCTTCAGGAACATAAGTTACATCCGTGCCAATAATGATCTCGAAACCTTCATCATTCAATCCTTTTACGGATTCTATATGATCTCTATTTCCCCAGTCTAGTCTTTTCGTAATGAGTTTGGCAAGAGAGGGTGATTTGAGATTTGCAGCAACATTGCGGGTCAACAAGTCGAGGGCTTTTACATCTCCATCGGTGGCAACCACAATGTCAGCAGATTTAGTAGCAACCATAGTGCAGATTCCCCCACAGCCGCATCCCAGCTCTAACACCTTTTTTCCTGCAACAATATTTTGATTTGCCGCAAGAACAGAAGCCATCAGCCGGGCTGATTCCCAAAGCATTAACCCAGTTGATTTACAGGTATGTTGGTACTCTTTTGGAAGTACTGTTATCTGGAAGCTCCAATCTTGTACCATGACCTCAATAATCTAAGAAAGAATACAGCTAAAATAACTAAGAGAACAAAACTGCAGACAAAGGCATGTGTTTTGCCAAATACAATTCTTCTCCATTATTTAGAAATCAGTCCACGTGAAACAAGCACAACAAATAACCTATATATGACACCATCAAACATCAACTAGAATGAACGATAAACCCAAACACTAAAGGTAACACCAGAGATGCATTTAATATTTCATCTTGTTTCTTGACTTTAAAGGGAAAGATAAAGCAGGATTAAATAATACCTCGTCATTGGAAACTGAAATACCAAACATCTCAGCAGCCAGTCCCTCAGATATGTCAAGGTCTAGCCCACTTGCATGATCAGCTGAAGTGTTCTCCAAGATCTCAGGATTGGTACGAGCCTTATCGTGCTCTACCTTGATTTCAGTCTTTGTGCTAGATAGGCAGCTAGCACCATCTAAGTGAAATACAGCTTGGACCCAACGCCTGCAATATCCACTATAATTTCAATTGCCCCAGGGAAAACGTGCACGCAGATTAAAAAGAAAAAAAAAAAGCTACTTTCATTAATGGATTTGTATACATTAGCACAATTTCCTCAATAGACCAAGCTATAATTTTCAACAGCATCAATTGAATATCCCTCCATTGCATCCAAGAGGTATGTACATTTATAAAATTCAGCATTGTACTAAATATGGGACACAACATTATGCAAGAACAGTTCCCCTCCCCCCCCCCCCCCC